TTGTATAAAAATCTGCTTTCGATAACCACGGACCGTTTCCTGGAAAAGTTTTGGGATTACAGTCTTAAAAAATAGGCTGGAGGACTGTCAAGACTTGAATCAACACTTAGCCTAAAGCAATAAATAGTATAACGTATCATTCTCATCTTTTCAAAATTGCTTATATTAATATATGAACCATTTCACTAGATCCCGCAAGGCCCTCTTGGCAGCGGAAAATGTCAGAACTCCTTTCGAGGAACGCTCCGCATACAATGATGGCAGATGAAAGATCGACATTTTGAGCTCTATCTTTTATGTTCACTTAACAATCCTACTTATATGCATTTACCTGCGACCAGTAACTTTTGCGGCTTGCTACTGATTGAACTTCATGGAAGAATACTGGCGCCAATTTAGAAGACTCATTTTGCAAAATTTAAGCGCACAGTTATACTGAAGTGATAGAGCATGAATTAGCTAAAAACGCAGGTGATGTCTTTCCACCTTTCTTTGCCAGACCTGGTGATCAAATGCTTACTGTTAATGTGAGTAAATTTGAAAAATCTTGTAACAAACGACCACCGAGTGTATACCTTAATGCGATTAGCATATTGTTCATTATCACCACAATTTCGCAGCGCTTTTGATGAAGAACATTTGCAGTTTAAGTACTTTACTTTACTGAGTTTCATACAAAAAAATGCTGAGCACAAAACCAACAACAAGGAGAGTGCATATGTATGCATAAGTTAAACGGACATGAGAGTCATGTTATACTGGGATTATGATGTTTAAAGCTCCTGCCGTATGTGGAACAAAAAATCACTTGGGTAGCACAGGGTTTTAGGATACGAAAGATTACATGCAAAAACTTGCAGTTTATCATAACAATAAATAAAACCCAAAGAAAAGAAGAGAAAGCCTGTGAGTTTCTTCCAAAAAGAATGCTCAAGAATGCGTACGAGATGAGAAAGCACAGAAGAAATTATCACAAAGCTGCGAGAATGGCGAGAATATGCAAGAATAAGTACAAGTAAGTGGTATGCGTAAAGACATGATAGAAAGATCATGAATGAGGGTAGAAAAATCGCATCGAAGCCTTAGACTCCATTTACTTCCGTTGAGAGTCGAATTTGGCTGCAAGCGCGCGCACTCCAGCATCTCCTGTAGCGCCAAGCACTTTTGGCGGTTTCTTGGGAAGTGCTGGTTTAAGAGATTTGTCGGAATTGAACGCAGTTTTCTGTGATTTCAATAAAAGCTCCTAAAAATAATGCAGAGATATATGCAAAAAACCAGTAGGTATTGAGTCTAACCTGCGAAGCATGAGGAGGTGGGGGTGGAGGAGGAGGCTGAACAGGTCGATTCAACGTAGCTTTTTTCGCTAGACTGAGATCTTCTGGTGGCGGTGTAGGGAGATCACGATAGGCATAATCGAGTGCACTGAAAACACTCAAGTCGGGGTTAC